GTTCGTCAACCGTATGCACTTCAGTTTTGTACACTAAGCGTTTCATTTCTCCCCAAAGACAAAAATCACATGGTGTTAAGTCTGGAGATCGAGGAGGCCACGCTACGGGTCCATTACGTCCGATCCACCTATTCGGAAATAATTCATCCAAAAACTCACGCACTTCGCGTCTAAAATGGGGCGGTGCACCATCGTGCAGAAACCACATTGATTATCTTACACTTAATGGCAAGTTACAAGAAAGGATATTGTTCAAAACTACCTGACAATAAAATCATTAGACCGTGATAATTAACCCTGCAAAACATTTATTATGGTACACGTACAAAGGCTTTACAAATATAGGCCCCACAAATATTTTAACGCCTAAACCCAAACTTATCTGGATTGGTCTTCTTCCAGTTATAGCTCATAAACGCTCAAAAATCAGTGGCCAGCAGTGGGCAGTGACGTTAGAAACGTCACAAGGTAGGGGCTGCTGGCCTTGTTTTCCAAAATTTACGGTAAAAAAACCCTGTTCACATCAGGGTTTTTAATCAAGGGAAGGGATGGCTTCCAACAAAATCGGCTGCGAAACAGCTACAAGACAAAGCTGGAGGTTAAAAACTCATTAGAAAATGGACGGGTAGCACCCAAACCAACATAACTAAACGTAAGGTACAAAATAAAAGGGTACTAGCTAGTCCATACAATGGATTCTGGAAAATCTGGAAGCTGACAAAAAAAAACCGCAAACACCGCAATCTCAGCAGGAAAGTAAATGACGCAGAACCTAACTTTTTGAAAGAAGGTAAAGTAAGTGGCCCTAAAGAAGGCACGTTCGACAGAAAATCAAAAGGAATGGAGACAAGCCGGTAAAAAAGGTATCTTGATAGTACCAAACATCCCTAAACGGCTAGTACGTGCAAAGCCACAGGGTGGCGCGCTGGTTGCCAACTCTACGATGGTCCAACGATATTATATGATGAAGTTTCGTCAATAATACTATAACATTTGTGTCCAAAAGGTTCCAAAACAATATATACTAAGTGACATATAAATCCGAACACCCTGTTTAAATGGTTTTATTTTAATAAAATTTTGTATAAGTACTTAATGAAGCACAATAAGTAAATGATAAAAATTTCAAAATGATTGCACTGCTTTAAAGCCCTTTGACCTTTAATAATGTGTGGATGCACCCTGATGTGCTACGCATTCTCCAACGCGCCTAGGCATGCTTCTGATCAGGTGGTCAATGTCCTCCTGTGGTATCTCATTCCAGGCAACCACCAACTCCTCTCGAAGTGCTTCTAGAGTCTGATGAGGACGTTGCAAATTGAGCAATCTCCTACCCATCATATGCCACACGTGCTCAATTGGGGATAAGTCGGGAGATCTTGGTGGCCATGGTAACAATGTGACATCATTATGTTGAAAGAAGTCTATTGTGACTCTTGCAACATGTGGTCGGGCATTATCTTGTTGGAAAGTTGGATCTGCCAGGGTGTCAAGATAGGGTAAAAGATGGGGTTCTAGAACTTCGTTGATATAACGCTGCGCGTTCATGTTACCTCTGATGAAGATTAAAGGTGACCTGGAGCCATGAGCTATAGCACCCCAAACCATAACTCCAACAGTGTGATGAACATTTCTTTCAACAAAAAACTGTGGATTCCTCCTTTTACCACGTCGCCTTCTAACCCTGGCACGACCATCGTGCATGCCTAAACAAAATCGAGACTCGTCACTAAAGACAATACTGTTCCATTCCTCATCCCAGCGTGACCGTTGTCTGCACCACTCAAGGCGATTACGTCGGTGTTCTCGAGTTAAAGGGAGGACCCAGTGTGGCCGGTATGAAAACAAACCAAAACTTTTCATTCGTCGGTAAACACTTCGCATGCCAATAGGTCTTCCGTGTTCTGCAAACCATTCATTTGCAATGAACCTGGTAGTGGAGAAACGGTCCCTTAAGGCCAATAATCTTAGGCGGCAATCTTCACGGTCTGTTGTTCTACGGCGGCGTCCAGTGCCCCTTGCTCTTTGCGTACGGCCTTCTCGAAGCCATGCCTGACAACACCTAACCACAGTGTCTACACTTCTTTGCACTCTAACTGCAATTGCCCGAAAAGAAAGTCCAGCTTCCCGAAGTCCCACTATACGGCCCCTATCAAACTCACTAAGTTGACGAAATCGTACAGGTCTCCGTACTCTAGGCATCGTAACCGATCGTAAAGGATGTCAAGAACCAAAATCCGCCAACGTTGATTCTTTACTGCGGCTGAAATATTCATTTTTAGAGCGTTAGTGAATTAAAAAAAAGCAGTATAAAAACCGGAATGTCCAACTGATAAGGCTGAAAATTTTTTCACTTGTTATTTACAGTAAGATAAATACATTCACCAACTTTTATTAAAATAAAAAAACTTAAACTGGGTGTTCGGATTTATATGTATAATTATACAATCAGTAAACTATGAAGTTTGCCAAAACAAGAATCATTAAAAAGGGTTTGGCCCAGGAATGGACACTCTCTATTAATGAAGAGAAGTTCAAATTGCTGGTAAGTGATCAAAACGGTAAAAAAAAGTTACGTGTTAGCTTCTGTGAATTCCGCTATACTAACCTAGCAAAAGAATACCTGCTTTTAAATTCGAGTATAATTTGAATCTTGTTTGTTGACAATTTTTGTTGCATCTCTAAAAATAAAGTGGTGGGGGTACTCAAATGTTTCCGTAAAAAACACCTTGTATCTTCGAAACAGCTGATCTGACTTTAGCGAATTTAGGCTAGATGAAAAGAGCTATTCTTGGGCTACAAGCGTCACAATATTTGAAGTTTTGTTAGTTTCACACGTGGCTGACAGAGGGATTTTATCGGCATCCCAGAAATGGTTAATTTTCTCAAAAAAATTAATTGGATATGACTGTTTTTGAAAAAACAGCGTAATGATGTCTAAACACGTTCGCAAAAAAGCATCTCGATATATTATATACTAAGTGACATAAATCTGAACACCCAGTTTAAATGGTTTAGTTGGTGAATGTATTTATCTTATTGTAAACAACAAGTGCCTTATCAGTTGGACATTCCGGTTTTTATACTGCTTTTTTTTAATTCACTAACGCTCTAAAAATGAATATTTCAGCCGCAGTACGATGCCTAGAGTACGGAGACCTGTACCAGTTCGTCAACTTAGTGAGTTTGATAGGGGCCGTATAGTGGGACTTCGGGAAGCTGGACTTTCTTTTCGGGCAATTGCAGTTAGAGTGCAAAGAAGTGTAGAAGACACTGTGGTTAGGTGTTGTCAGGCATGGCTTCGAGAACGCCGTACGCAAAGAGCAAGGGGCGGACCCTGCCGTAGAACAACAGACCGTGAAGATCGCCGCCTAAGATTATTGACCTTAAGGGACCGTTTCTCCACTACCAGGTCCATTGCAAATGAATGGTTTGCAGAACACGGAAGACCTATTGGCATGCGAAGTGTTTACCGACGAATGAGAAGTTTTGGCTTGTTTTCATACCGGCCACACTGAGTCCTCCCTTTAACTCGAGAACACCGACGTAATCGCCTTGAGTGGTGCAGACAACGGTCACTCTGGGATCAGGAATGGAACAGTATTGTCTTTAGTGACGAGTCTCGATTTTGTTTAGGCATGCACGATGGTCGTGCCAGGGTTAGAAGGCGACGTGGTGAAAGGAGGAATCCATAGTTTTTTGTTGAAAGGCATGTTTATCACACTGTTGGAGTTATGGTTTGGGGTGCTATAGCTTATGGTTCCAGGTCACCTTTAATCTTCATCAGAGGTAACATGAACGCGCAGCGTTATATCCACGAAGTTCTAGAACCCCATCTGTTACCCTATCTTGACACCCTGGAAGATCCAACTTTCCAACAAGATAATGTCCGACCACATGTTACAGGAGTCACAATAGACTTCTTTCAACATAATGATGTCTAATTGTTACCATGGCCACCAAGATCTCCCGACTTATCACCAATTGAGCACGTGTGGGATAAGATGGGTATAAAACTGGGTGTTCGGATTTATATGTCACTTAGTATATGTATAGTGTTGCGCGAAAGTTATAAAAAAGATTCCATTGGCATCCTTTAGGGGTACCTATCCCCAAAACGATCACTCCTTGAATATTTCAGAAGCCCCCTTGTATAAAAGTAATACTGCAGTTGGGCACCATGATTTGTATGCATTAAAAACATGTCTTCGATATTTAATTTCCCCGGAGGCTAACGACGTCGCGTAGCTTTTTAAAATGACGTCGCTGGCGACATGTCGTACATCCCGGACTGATGCTGAATCTAGATTAATGTTCATTAAACTAATATGCACGTGCGGATGTAACACGAGACGGTTGCCGTATCGAACCGAAATAAATGGCATACTAGACGAGTCACAAGCAGCTGATGCCGATGCAGATTTCGACATGAGTGATCAGATATAGTTTGAATTAGTTAGTTGGTGTATCCAATCTAAGCCACTATATCTTATTTAGAATGATGATGCAAGTACAAGTCATCAGATGGTTATACTATTACTTAAAAAAAAGTGATGTTGGTATTACGTCCGGTTTTTCAAATTAAGTTTTTAATTGGTAAGTTGACTACAAGCTGTCTAAAAAAAAAACGTTTTTTGGGTTCTGGCTTACTAACTTGGATTCGTTAAAGCGGAAACTCTGCTTCTATATCTGAACTAACGTGTTCTGTGCGTTTCGTGATCTTGATATTCATGTCTCGTGTCATCTCTGACAACTCAGGTCACTAACAAGCAAAGAACGACACACTGCAACTTCCTATTCCGTCAGTATTCGTCCTCTGGTTAAACTACGGTTTAGGGCAAACCTGACGTTGACAAACCCGTCTCGATGTTTGACTTCCGGTTAGCAGTCAGACTGCGATTGAAAAACCGAGCCCGGTAAATTACAAAGTAAGATATTATTAGGCTGAAAGTTTTACACTATGTGAGATTTACCTGAGGTGATCGCTTCTCATGAACTTCTTATTGCAGACTGGACAGGCAAAGTTCTTCTCGCCCGTGTGTGTCCGCGTATGCCTGGCCAGCTCGTCTGATCTCGCAAACCTCTTCCCGCAGTTGTCCCAACTGCATGGAAAAGGCCGCTCTCCTGGAACAAAAAAAAAAGAATAATTATTGTATAAAAGATGTTTTAATACATTTTTCGATGTATGTTATATAATTTTTATTTTACTACTACTACTTTCGGTATATACCAAGCGATAGTTTTGTTATACAGGGTGTTAAGGTTATTATGACACATGGTCCAAAACTTGTCTATATGGCTTTATAGTTTACAACTTTTAGTGCTTTATACCGACCACAATCACCACATTCTTACTAATTTTTATAATATAATCTAAAAAGTTTTTAAAGTGGGTAATTAACAAATAAATGGCATTCAGTTTTTCTAAGTTAAGCCAAAATGTGTAGTCAGTAAGTAAGTAAGTTTCATTAAATTAAATATTTAAAACACACATGACAACAGCGCGTCGGTCTTTCATCACTCTTATCGAACCGGCAATCGTTCGCAAACGGAGACATGATTTGTGGTTTCTTCAAGACGGAGCACCAGCATACATTTTTAGAGGCGGCATTCAGTATTTGAATGATCATTATCCAAATCGCTGGATCGGTCAAAATGCTCCTGATCCTCGAAAACGGCCAGCAAGATATCCTGACCTCAATCCGATGGTATTAAGGAGAACTTAAAGGGATGGTTTATGGGGCTGGTCCAATAACAACTGAAGCACAACTTCGCGAAAAAATGTTTAATGAGGCTGAAATAATAAATGGACAACTTCGAGGACCTAGAGTAAGAAGAAACTGGCTTCGTCGTAATGAAGCTTATGTGGAATGTGGAAGACGACAATTAGAACACCTTCTTTAAATACAAAAAAGGTGCAGTGAGGGTTTTAGAAAGAAAAAGAAACTCCAATAATTGCATTGCTGCGTATCAAACGCGCAATCAAATACATCTATAATCCAAATAATTGTCCAAGGTACAGATAGTCTCATTCTTACTTCTTAATACAGAACAATCCACATCGATATTGGATGTTAGGTTTATATCGCTTGGATATTGCATGGAAATTCCTTCAAATAAGCTGTATGACGGTTGCTTGCTATACATAACATTTTTATTTTCTCATTCGAATTGTGTACGTTCTGCTTTGCTATCGAACAAGGAATATTCCTTTTTTTTCGAACGGTAGAGTCAGGTATATGTGTGTGTAGATAAAACACGAATGCCGCAATAGCGATGTATGTATACGTCGATGTGATGAAAAAAAAAGGATAGACGGCCGTTCGCTTCGAAATCCCCCTATTGCTGCATTAACACCTTTTCATCCGCAACTCAAACGTCGACCGCGCCCTCTATTTTCCATATTTTCCCTCTCGCACCATCGGATTATTAGCCCAAGAAAAATAGGCTTCAATCTTGGAACGACGGACGACCAGATCAGAAGCTGCATACACCTTGACGTGCTTTAAATAGGCTCTAAGATCTCGCATAATTTTGTATCAGCAAAGGACTGCGCACAAATGATATGGACAGTGGGTCCCAGTCGATTTGTCTAAGAATTCATTATGATATACAGTGTGACTCTTCATAAAGTGCACATATCAAAATCAGGGAAACTACACCTTATTTTATTGACGGAAAAATTATAAAAAAAATTAAAAACAATAATTGATTTTTTATGAATATTTTAAAATTTTTAGATTCAGCTGCTAACCCTATTTAGATAAATCGTTACAACTTTTAAACTGAATGTCCTATCATATTGGAATAAATTTTGTAGTGATTGCAAATAATAGACCCTACCAGTAAAGTGAAAATTTCCACGAAATTAAATGCTATAAATTTAAAATAAAGAGGGATATGCTGAAACTCACTATTTTTTCAATGATTTTTAAAACAATTGCTAAATTTCAATAAAAATTGTCCTATTTACCCTACCTTTTTTAAATGTTAAGTTATTCTACATGTTATTAGCTTCCTAATGGAGAAAAATTGCAAGTCTATTACTTAGATACAAGCTTTTAAATCAACGTTTCAAAAAGCAGTGAACTCAGTTCAACGCCAGAGTAGGAATAAAACAACAGTATTAACCTACATGAATCATTCATTATCTTTAACAAATAAAATCAAATAGACTTGTCTATAGGATAATCATTTTGGCTTAATGCATAAAATGTTCAAAATGGCCACCCCGTTGCACATTGTAGCGCGAAGTGAAATTTGATGAGTTGCCCTACGAATTATCTCGGGATCATTTTTGATTTCGTTTGCAACACGCAAAACTCTTTCTTCAAGTTCCGCTTCGCTGTTTATGGAACTGCTGTACACCCTTTGTTTCATTGTCCCCCATAAAAACTAGTCGAGAGGTGTGAGATCTGGGGAACGCGCCGGCCACCCAACAGGTCCTTGTCGACCGATCCAGCGGCCCGGATAATTTAAGAAAAGACCTGACAATCAGCGAGTAATGGGCAGGACATCCATCCATTTGAAGCATCATTCTTCGACGGGTTTGCAGCGGCACTTCTTCCAACAGCAAGGGCAGTTCAGTCCGCAAAAGCTCCAGAAATCTCTCTCCGTTTAATGTCCTCGGGAGTATTATTGGACCAATCAAAAAGTTGTCAGTCAGTGCGGCCCACACATTTACAGAAAATTTCACTTGAAATGTTGAAGCCCTTTTCAGCCTAGGGTTTTCATCTTTTGGGCACCACTTATGTAAATTACGACAGTTCACGATGCCGTCTCTCGTGAATTGAGATGCATCTGTCCATAGAATTGTTTTCGGGAATTCAGGATTGTCTCTTGTTTTTATTAAAATCCATGTAGACATAATGCACCTTGGACGCCAATCCACATCTTCATGCAAGTGCTGCACCCTTTGATAATGGTATGGATGCAACCCTGCTTAACCCCAAGCGTCTCGTACTAGTAGTCGGGTCAGCAAACAAATCATCCAAAATGGCTTCTTCGATAGCAACATGAATAATAACACCTGGTTCGCGGCGATCTCGAGGCAAACCAAGTCCAGTGTTAACCAGTCTTCTATGTACTTCTTGGAAGTTACGGGCTGATGGAACAGGGCGTCGATTTGGAAATGCAGCTAGATAAGCTGTGCAAGCAGCTCTAGCACTCCCTCGGTACATTCCATAATAATAATGGATATCGTCAATGTGTGCCGGAGGGAAATCACTTATACGTGGCATCGCGACGAAAAAGCGAAAGCGTGATATGTAGCAAACGAAACTCATAAAGTTGGCATGAGAAACACAAATAGCTGCCTAACTACCCAACATTCAATTGTTTTTCAAGTGGGCCCGCCTCCCCACTCGTACTTCAGCTCGCGCGTCTCTACATTGAATCACCAAAAAAAGGTATCTACATGATAAACAATGGTGCCTAGCAAGACGATGCGCATGGGCTTTTTTATAAACACTCATAGAAACTGTTACATTTGAGTAATAAACGTGCAATTTTTACTTTTATAAACTGATAACATGTAGAATAACTTACAAATAAAAAAAGGTAGGGTACAAGGGACGATATTTATAGAAAATTTGAAATTATTGTAAAAATGATGAAAAAAAAAACAGATTTTCATCAAAATTTTCTTTATTCTAAATGGATGTCATTACTTTTCCTGGAATTCTTCACTTTTCAGGCACGTTCTTTTACCAGCAATCACTACAAAATGTATTCCAATATAATAGGAAATTAAGTTTAAAAGTTGTAACGAGTCATTTCAATATGGTTAGAAGCTGCTACTAAAAATTTTAAAATATTCATATATTCATAAAAAATCAAATTCATGTTTTTTTGTTGATTTATCCGTCGATGAAATAGAGTGTAGTTTCCCTGATTTTGATATGTGCACTTTATGAAGACTCACACTGTATTTCTGACCATCCTGAGCAAAAGCTCTCGAAGCATCAAAGCAGTCCTATGATTAGTTTCTGAGAAATTGTGCGATAAAGTCTGCTTGGTTTGCAAAAATGGTGAATGTGTTGACTGTGGTTCTAGGACCCAAAACTTTGGAAATCGGTTTAATGACGTTGTCATGGTGATCCAAACATGGTCAAGGCCAATTTAAGGGCAAGTTGATTTTTTGAAGTTAACGCAGGAGTAGATCTGGCACTAGTTGTTCAAGGATTCAGAGAACCCAATAAAGCAGTTTGCTTCTCAAATCCGCAGAAAGGTCATGGTTGTTTCCTTGCTTTTCATCATGACCTTTATATGGTCAAATCAAGGTCGCGTTGAAAATAAGAGGGTAAGTGTGAATATTGCTTTAAGTTGTTGTAATTTATGATTTCACTTTACACTGGCCAATAAATGAAGCCACAGATGTTGAATGAAATAGCTTAGTGACGTTTCGGCTGCCTCAGCAGCATTTTTCAAAGTGCAAATCAAACTAGTGACATATGAGTTTATGAAACTGAAATTAAACAATAACGTTTATTTATTTCTGTCTTCCAGGCGACAGAACTCTGGTGTTTTAACCGCCAATGTTGACCATTAAGCAATCTTCGAGTACTGAATTTGCATTTCTCATGAATCTCCCTCCTAATAATCATGATCAGGAGCAACATGGCACCCCCAACACCTTTACACTAGGTTTTTAATAAAATATTTCTTCTAGAATAACAATTCTCCGTGTATTTGGTGAGTGCTGCAATTGGCACATTCACCTATTTCTCTGAAACTAAATCGTAGGATTGCTTTGCTCCCATGGAAACTTTTTTACAGGAAGGCGAGAATTATAATTTGTATGTAATCCCATTTTTTTATTTAGTTTCGAACACAACAGCAAGATGGTGGTCTTCAGCAGCAATACACTGAAGTTTTAAGCTACTTTTCTACACCTTTCTGGAGGTATGGTGGATGTTCCTCAACAATTCGGGTCTTTAGCTCATCTAAAGTGTGGGGGCGATGTTTAAAAACTTTCTTCATTAAATAACCGCACAGAAAAAGTAGCACATGCTTAATTCTGGCGAGCGCGCTGGCCATCCCAAGACACCTCTCAAAGTCACGACTTGACCAGGAAACATATGAGCTATGTGTGCTGTAGCCCCATCTT